TCACAGAATACACACAGAGAGGACACACAGAAGAGGAATAATCCCAGATTCTTAAAGATCACCCCCATTTAACATTCAATATCTTTGATATATTCTCTTCCATTTCCTAAGCCGGTATGCAGCGGAATGATAATGCTTTGTTCTGGGATTTAGATTTTCTGTTTGCAGTTGTTTAAAGCTCTGACTTTGAGAATAATGTCTCCGACAACTGTTTATAACCACTTCAGAGATTGGGCTGCCGCATATTTTTTCTTTCATTGCACCTATTGTTCTGCCTCCTGATAACTGGCAGATGGAATTCCCCCCTCAGGAGGAGGGGCAGAGATGTTTTTATAGCTCCAAAATCTATAAAAGAGAGCAATTTCTAGATTTTGTGCTGATAAAAAGACGCCGGTCTTGATTAGAAGTGCTGAACTCTTACACTTGCCGTTACACAGTGAGATGTCCCCTGGGCCTCAACCAAACTCTCTTTAAAAGTTTTGATATCACAAAATGTCAACTATATTTTATGCATGGGCTTATAAAATATTACTTTTAAACCGACTTTGTCAGTAGAAAAAGAACAATACAACAACAAAATCCAAGGTAATAAATGGTAAAAACAAACTAACCCTGTCTTAGAAGGCTCAGGAATAACAAATTGCTTCAATATTTTCCACAATCATGGTTATTTATTATAAGACTTGAAAGTGTGTTTCCATTCACTCACAGCACACCTGGAGGTTAGTATGGGACATTGATGTTCCATGGCGTGTGGTATGAGGGTTTAATTGTGAGGATCCACAGTTGCATGCTTTCCCTGCAGGGCTCTGTCATTCAGAAAGCTAATTAGAGGGGAAAAAAAGATGGGTGGCTCTATAGAGCTGGTTAGCTTTTCTGTCCTTTTCTGTAGTGCTTTGGGAGAGAGCCGGTCTGGGGAAGGCCGTGGAAGACTGCAAAGAAAAAATATGGTGACACAGAAAGGCAGCTGTCACAGGAAGAGGTGGAAAAGCGGCCAGTAGACCTGGGATGCAGCAGCCAGGACACTGTCAGCAGCCAGTTTAGATAGCCACAGGCCGCACTCACACCCGGGAGAGGGCTGGATGAGGCTGTGAAGAGACATCAGCCTCTCTCTGTCTCTGTCTGTCTCTTTCTCAGTCTCTCAATAATTGTCAGACAACATTTTCTTTTTAATTTAAAATTTTGAGTATCATACAAATTGGAAACAAACGATGGTCAGGTATTGCATTTAGATCATCAATAAGTGAGGAAATCAGGAAGACATTACAATAGGTTTAAAGAATCCCATGAACGACATGCACATGGGGAACAGGACTTAAGAAATAAATTTAAAAGACTGAAACTAGATCCATGCCTGTCACTATGCACAAAACTAAAGTCTAAATGGATCAAAGACCTAAATATTAAAACAGAAACACTAAATCTACTGGAAGACAAGGAAGGGAGAAGTTTTGGAGACAGAGGGTATCATGGTATGTGTCGGTGGCCCCCAGGCCTCATGCTTTTGCATTATGTGTTTGTGATTGATTCATTGTTCAGCACTTGGATTGATAGTGTCACTGCTACACCCACATAGGTGTGGAGCCAGCATACAATGTAATGGCAGGAAGAAGGTATGTCTCTCTCTCTCTCTCTCTCTCTCTCTCTCTCTCTCTCTCTCTTGCTATTTCTGCCTTGCTATTTGCATCCTCCATGAACTGTGGTCCTGCCGTGCGACCCTGACTTGGAGCTAACTGAGTATGGACTGAAACCTCCAAAAACTGTAAGAAATAAACCTTTTCTTTCCCAGCTTTGGGCATCAGGTATTTTGTCTCAGCGACGAGTAAAAAGTAACTAAGATATAGGGGTAGGCGGAATTCATGAACAAAACACAAACAGCATGAGAAACACTTAAAAGAATCAACAACTGGGATTTCATATTATTGAAAAGTTTTTGCACTTCAAAAGAAATCACAAACAAAGTGAAAAGAAACCCCACAGAATGGGAAAGAATTTTAGCCGGCAACCCCTCAGACAAAGGACTTATATCCGGAACATATAAAGAATTTAAAAACATCAAGCTCCCTAAATTCAAAGAACCTCTCCAAAAATGGGCACCTGAGATGAACACACAGTTCTCAGATAAGATACACAAATGGAAATTAAATACATGAAGAAATGTTCACCATCACTGGTCATTCGAGAAATGCAAATTAAAACAGCATTGAGATTGTATCTCACTCCAGAAAGAATGGCTGCCATCAATAAATCAGCTGGTAACAAATGTTGGTGAGGCTGCAGGGGGGGGAGGGGAACACTGCTCCACTGTTAGTGGGAGTGTAGTGGGGTGCAACCACTATGGAAATCACTGTGGAGATTTCTCAGAAGACTAGGATTGGAAGTTCCTCAGCTATTCCCCTCCTCAGTATTTTCCCAGAAAAACTGAAAAGGTCGTATCACAGCAGTATATGTGCACCCATGTTCATAGCAGCACAGTCTGCGACAGCTAAATCTTGGAAACAGTCAAAATGCCCATCAACTGCACAGTGGATGAAAGAGGTGTGGTATTTGTATACAATGGAACATTACCCAGCTATAAAAAAGGAGGATCTTGAGGTCTTCATAGGTAAATGGAGGTAAATAGGCCTTGAGACTCTCCTCATAAGTGAAATAAATAAGAATCATATTTATAAATATCACATTGCATCTCCAGTGTAAAAAGAAATAAGAACTGTAGGAGTAATAAAACCCAAAAGGAGTAATTGCTATTGTAAAAAAGAAAGGAAAAGAAAGTGCTCTGAAGGATATAACTGCATGTCTGTTTAAGTGTGTAGGATTGATAACTATATTACTAATATGGTTGCTGGGTCACTGAACAGAACTATTTGTATTCTCACTGTTTGAATGTCCACTTTGTATGCTTTAATTTTTTACTTGAACAACTATTTCTAAGATGACATTATGTAATTTACAACTAGTGATTTCTTGCTGTTTATTTTTTTGAAATTATGTATTATTTCTAACCTTTTTCTGTTTTTCTTTTTTTCCTCTTTTAATAAAAATCTTAAAAAAAGAATTATGTGACTTTACGGTGTATTTTCACATTAATAAAATATAAGCTTATTTTTTTAAAAAAAGAAATGAATGTACAAACAGATATAAACTATATCAGCCCTCAGAGCAACAATCAGTTAACTTGCATTTCTATAAAAAAAATTGTTCTGATTCTTATCAGAGTTATTCACTTTACAGAGTTGTAAAATAGCTCAGAGATAATGAAAGGTGGTCATAATCTAGATGGATTATAAAATATTGAGAATATTTTCTAGTGCATGTTAAGTATAATGTAAGTTTTAGCTATAGTTTATATCACAAAATTACATTTTTGGCATCAGAGAGAGAGTAAGGTTTGAATCTTCTATCAGCTGCTTACAAATTAGGTAACTAATTAGTGTGTAACTGAGTAAAAAAATTCATTCTCAGTCCAATTTTCTTATTGCCATGTACTTTCATACCTACTTGGTAAATTTTGAGTCATGAATAGAACAATGCTTATAAAATATTTGATCTACAGTGTATTTTATTATTATATTAAAATACTATTATCATTATTTTTATTATTAAAATTGACAACCTTAACAGTCCTAAAACGTTTTTAATCAATCAACTGTTGCTTTTTTCATTATGGTTACAATCACTTAAAGTTCCTTTTGAATATAGATAAAGTTTTAAATCACAAATAGGTAAACAAATATACTGTAAATATTGAGTCTGGCAAGTTGATTCTCATTTCTGTATTTGTTTTCAAAGCTAATTATTGAGAAAGTCCAGCTTTTTGCTTCTCTTGTCTTTTGCTTTTCTAAGTAAGTGCATTCTTATCTGTAGACACAGAAAGGGCCGGGCAGCAGCGTTGGGAAGAAAAGCCTCCCACACAGTGGGAGACCTCTTTTCAGTTTACCTTTTTTTTTTTTTTTTTTTTTTTTTTTATTTAAGAGGAAAAAGAGAAAAACACAAAACAAACCAAAGCGGCGTAAGGGTACACGCAATACAGAACTACAAAACAAAACAAAACAAAACAAAACAAAAAACCATAACAGTAAGAAATTACCTGCTAGTAGATTACACACTATTTTCTTGAAAATAGTTCCTCAAATCACAAGCCCGGAGGCAGAACAGCAGCTCATTTCTTGGTTTGTTGTGTTTTTTCTCCAGAAGTGCTTGTGCATCCAGGGTTGACATCCCAGGCCCCTGCACAGGGAGAAGGCCTGGGCAGATATAAGCAAAGACTGTAATAGCTGGAGAGGAGCGGAAAGACCGCCTGTGGCCGGCAGGATGCTCAGAAGGCCCTCAGGCCCCAGCCTGAGCTTCCTTTGCCCTGTAAGTAGCAAAGCAGCGCCCAGTTGAGCTAGTGCCTGCCCGAGTGAGGTGCAAGCTCTCCTGGACGAACGCTGAGTGTCAAGTCCTGAGCCTGGTTTACTCCTTGCAGCCTCACCTGTGTTCTGAGACACACTGTGCACAGGGGCAGAAAGAATAAACTGCGCTCTGCTTCCCACCTCCTGATATTTTAAGACTTCTCTGTAGGCTTCTACAAGCCTCTTAACTCTGACTTCCCCTCGGCCCTCTTCTCTTCTTACCGCTCTTTTCCCCCAGAGATGTTTGTATCCAAGACCACACGTATTCTCTCCCATTTATAAATGTCTCTTTTCCCTCCGTCCTTCTCTCTGTCTCTGTCTGTCTGTCTGTTTAGCTATGCCATCTGTGTAAAGCAGGAAAGCGCATTGCCCTGCAAATCCAAGGGTCCCAAACCCACCTTGTTCTCACTCTGCAACACCCTCCCTCCCACCAAACCAGGTGCTTTGCTGCATCTACAAGTCCTGTTTTGCAGAGAGCCGTCCTCATCATATTACATAAGCCAGCAACTGGGCAGTCTTGACTGATTTTCTCCTCTTTCTTACCTCCATGTTTCAGTTATGTAATAAACGATGAGGCAAAGCAGTATAGTACTTAAAACAACAGTATCATGAATTTGGTTCATCATTTTATTTGCACAGGGCTCAGCAGGAATGGCACATTTTTGCTGCCTGTGATGTTAACTGAGAGATCTTGATTGAGGACCCATTTCCAAGGAAAGCCACTTGGCTGTGGATGGCTCTAAATGTTCATGGAAGCACACCCCAGGGCAACTGGCCAGAGAGCTGCACTTCTCTCCATCTGGGGCTCTTTGTGGTGCTCCTTGGTCTTCCTCACAGCATCGTGTGGTGACTTGTTCTAAGAGACAGGAAGGAGGGATGGAAAGTAACGTCAAGGCCTAGGGCTAGAAACTGGCAAAGCACTGCTTGTGTTGGGTTCTGTTGGTCATCCAGATTCAAAGGTGGAACATAAATATCACTTCCTGCGGGAGGATGCCCGAGGAGTTAGGGCTGTCTTTATACGGTCTACAGCAATACAGTTTGTGTGATCTTCTTGCATTAGTCCTTTTCACATGCTGTTCCTTTGGTCTTGAATACCTTTCCCCACCTTCCTATTCCCTGCTTTTTCTCTAAGATCTGCTCTAGTTAACTGTCCACACCTTTCCTACCCTGCCTCCCACAGGGTGTAACACAATACCCTAGGGCAGCACTTAGGATTCTATATTATAATTATTCACAATATGAACTCCCAGAAGACTGAATGCCAGGAAAGATTGTATGTCATTCACCCTTTGTGTCCCCACAAACAAACACAGAGCTGGGAGGATAAGGACCTCAGTGGTGTTTGTGAATGGGTAAAGTTTACTTGCGATAATCTGTTAATAATCCCGTGAAGCAGCAGAAGTTGAGTATTATTCTGCTCTTACTTCCTTAGATAAGAAGAAATAAACATGACAAAGAGTAGCAGCAATACTCAGGCCACTCAGTCAAAAGGACAGCTCAGTATGGTGGGTGAGAGTCCAATTCCCCAAAGTCAGTTGAACACCCTAGATCTAGGAATGACATCAGAAAGGCTAAGAACACTCCAAATGAATGATTAGAGTTAGTTGTTTAATAGAAAATGCCCCTGAGATTACTCACTGTGATCTGTATCTACTGGGGAAATGCACTTGACCTTGTACACCCTGCCAGTGAGCTACAAACAGCAAAAGAGATGGAAGACAGCCTGATAGAATCTGTCATGGTGCAGTGCTTTGTTCAAATGGGAAAGGTGGATCTAAAGGAGATTCTCAAAATGACAGAGTGAGAGAGAGTGAGAGTTGGTTAGTGATTCTCAAGTGCCTCTTCATGGCAGATTGACAGTTACTGTCAGAAAAAGAGACTGTCTAGGGGTCCAAGTGTGTGGATCAATTGGATAATTCATTGGAGTCAAAACCTTAGCTAAAATAAAACATCCCTCCAGGACATCTGATATCCTGTCCTCTGATTTCATGGTTAATAAGCCCCTTCTGTTCACAAATTTGGTTTCTTCCATGTTTTTTATTGTGGAAATCTTTTCTTAGTGAATATGGGTATTCTGGTCAGTAGAAAAGAAGTTTCCTGTTATGAATTTATATAAATGTATTGTATCTTTAAATCCAGTTTCTTTAAAATTGGGTTAGTGGAGAAAAATTTTGAGCACAAATAAATTGATTTCTTACTATTTTAACTTTTAAAGCAATATATGTAATTCTCACACAGTTTTTCCTATAAGAAATCCAAACAGCTGAATAAAATGTACATGAAAGCCCTTTCAACAGTGAGCGCCCTCTGTGCTCCCAGTCCTCAGCCTTATTCTCTGGCAAGTACCAGAGAGAATGGTTGACAAGAGTCAAATATGCAGGTGTCAGTTTCTTTTCATATACTTATTCATGGAGACATGTGTATTTATGAATTTTCCTTTTTATTTATATAGACTAGATCACATTACACCTTTTCCTTTTCTGGGTAACTCTATGCCATGAAGATCCTTTGATATGAGTGTGTTAGGCTGCCCTCTTGTTCCTTGTTATTGGATTGCATTTCTAGTAAAAACAGGAAGTATTGATCAAGGTTGCCCAAAGAAACAAACCAGTAATATATATATGAGAAAGAGAGAGAGAGAGAGAGAAAAAGGAGGCGGGGAGAAAGAGGAAGAAGAAGAGGAGGAGGGGAGGGGCGGGAAAGAGGGAGGAGGAATTAACTCACATCTATCAAGGCTGGCAAGTTCCAGGATCTGCAGAGTGAACCAGCAAGCTGGAAGCCCAAGAGAGCTCACACTGATGTTGTTCCAGTCCGCCAGTCAGCCAGCTTGAAATTCAAGAACATCAATATTTCATTTAGAGTCTGAAGGTAGGAAAAACCACATGTTCCAGTTCAGAAGCCAGCAGGCAGGAAGAATCCTTTCTTACTCAAAGAAGAGTCAGAATTTTTGTTCTATTTAGACCTTCAAACTGATAATAAACGGCCCATCCATTTTACAGAAGGATTCTGCTTTCCTCAGGTTGTGATTTAAATGGTCTCTTTCACAAAAATACTCACATTGATATCTAAAAAATATCTGGATGCAACGGCCTAATGAAATTGACATATAAAATTAGTCACCACCAAAGATTATGTAATTATTGCACTTTTGAACAACAGGTGTTTTTTTTTTCTTTTTTAACTTCTAGAAATATGACTGCAATAAAAATCTTTGACCATATAGTGTTGGCCACATGTGTGTGTATTTCTATAGGATATATTCCTAGAACTGGAATTGCTAGGTATATTTGATAGAATAATACCTCTTCCTCAAAATGTCTATGGGAGACCTTAAAGTATGCTGCAATGAATGACAAAAGAAATGAACTGCACAAGGACTTCAAATTCCTGATCAGCTGACCCGACAACAGAGCAATTGTCCTAGGTTGCCCTGGTGGACCCAATGCAATCACAAGGGCTCCTAAAAATGGAATAGGGAGTCACATGACAGAACTGGAGTGGTGGCAGTGTAAGGACTTAGCCCGAAGCAGCTGGCTGTACAAATGGAAGGCGAGACCACGGGCTAGAGAGTGTGCGCAGCCCACAGCAGGTGAAGGGACAAGGAAACGGGTTCTCCACGAGGGCCTGCAGAGGGCATCCGCCCTGTGACACCTTGGCCTCAGGCCTCGGAGGCTCCTTTCATCTTTCCGAACTACAGAACTGCTGTGCCTCAGTGTTTTTTTAAATCAGTAAATCAGCAGTGATTTGTTGTATCAGTCATAGAATAATAGCAGTATGGGTTCCAGGAAAATGAACTTTAAGAAATTTGATGGATAATGCAAAATGAGTTTCACAAAAAGTAAAAAGGGGCTTTTCAACCCCGACATCAGTGAAAGAGAAAGTCCATTTTCCACACTGCCATCAGCACGACTTTATGAATTTTTTACATTTTGATAATTTAATAGGTAAAAGTTTTCTCTTTATTGTTGAGATGGAGGATGTTTTGAGTTCCTTTCCCTATTCTATTCATGAACCAGAAGTTTATACAAAGTTCGTGGTCTTTCTTGTTACCTTACAGGTACAGGTACGTTTGGAGAGAATGTCTCTTCACCCTTTACCTGTTATTTTCCTCCAATCCATCACACCTCTATCTACTCTGTTATGGTGTATTTTGTCAAACAGACAAACATTTTCTTTATGACTAGAATCTGTGCTTGTTTAGAAAAAAAAGATTAATAGCTCAAGAAACTGAACATGTCTGCATGGATAGGGTAATAAATAGCGTGAGTGACTTTCAGTAAGACCAATGTTCCTTTGGGGATTAAATTTCTTATCAAAATAATGATCTTATTTATTCAAAAATAATTTACACTTAGCTCACTTTACACCAGGCTTAGATGCAGATGCGGGGGAAATGTGAATGTGTATAGCATTCAAAGAATGTGTGGTCTAGTGGGGGACAGGGACAACAGGACACGCAGAACAAGTGCAGAGAACCGGTGCTAAATCCGAGGTTTGTGCAGAACCCCATGGAACCCCACATCCAGAGTCATGAAGTTGGGTAGAGATTTCCCAGGTGAGGCAGGAGGACAGAAAAGGTGTGTGAGAGAGACAGATCTGCAGGTACAGAAGCCGGGACCCACAGCCCATTCATAGGATGGGGGCGATGCTGATCGTGAGCTGAGTCTGGAGATGTGGGCAGGTCCTGTAACATACATCCTCCAGTTTGGTATGTTCCCACACGGGCGCCTGAAAGCCTTTGAAGACTGAAGCTGTCAAGTGAGAGATGGGCGAGCCGTCTTCGCAAGGAGACCGCCTCAGACTGTGCTGTGGAGACGACCCTGGAAAGCACAGCTAGGGGCAAGTAGGAGGCTGCTGGGCACCTGGACACGGGAATGAGGCCTGCAGAGACAGACAAACTGGCAGGTTTGTAAGGTTCATGCCACGTTTCCTGCCACTCGTAATCATCCTATGTCCAAATTCCAGTTAGATGTGGAAATATAGCTGTGGTGACAGTCTAAAAGATTTTCCTGGGGAAGGAGAAGTCACTGTTATTAAAAGTGCAAAGTGGTTATGCAGCCAGATTAAATTTATTTTGATCTTTTATATTTTGACTTTCTTTATGCAGGTGCTTGGTTCTCAATTTAAGATGGTCCAATTTAATGATTTTTTTTACTTTATAATGGTAAACAGTGATAAGAAATCAGTGGAGTCGATACTTTGAATTCTAATTTTTAAAAGAAATAGTAAGGACTGAACTCAGGGACCCTATCACTGAGCTACATTCACAGCTCTCTTAATTTTATTTTGAGACAGGATCTTGCTAAGGTGCCCAAGACGGTCTTGAACTTGTGATCTTCCTGCTTCCACCTCCCAAGTAGTTGAGATTACAGGCATGCACAGCCACAACCTGGGGTGAGTTTTGAAATTTGGTCTTTTCCCAGACTAATGGGGTACAGTGAGAAAACCTTCTGGTGCTGGGCAGAGGCAGTGAGCCATAGCTCCCAGTCAGCCACCCAGTCATGAGCGTAAACAACCATACTCTACAGTGTACTGTGTGGCTGGGCTAGGAAATTCAATAGGTTGAGTTGACTACAAGCATTTTTGCCTTAGGATGTTTTCAGTTTACAGTAATTCAACAAGATACAGCACCTCCGTAAATTGAAAAGCACATGAGCTGTCCATCTCCTTTCCTCTTACTTTGCATTATTAATCTTCCCATGCTATACACCAGGAAAGCAAAGAACTCATCTTAGGTCTTTCCTGAGATTTTTAACTTTCACCCTGAAATTCGTTACCAGTCATGGCAAAGCCGTTTATAACATGGAGAACCTGGCCTGCAGATAAGAATCTGCTTTCTCTGCCAAGATACCAGGAAGGTGTGAGTGGAGGAAAATGAAATTCTCTGGTATTGTTCTTCGCTTTATTGTACATGGCATCACTTCTCAAAGAGACACAGAAGCTTCACCTTTTATTGAAATCCTAAAGCAGCCAAAGGGAACTACCATATAGAGGTGAAAATACTAACAGTATAGACTAGGTGTGAATTTTACCCTGCTCTGGAGCACAACTGCTTCTCTCTCCTCTCCCCTTCCCCAAGTTGAGCTTCCGTTTTCTGTACCCAGGTGTGTGACAGACCAGTATGGGGGAGAGGACAGGCCCCTGTCAGGAGCAACATTCTCTTCATCAGAGTACTAATCTCAGCTCTGCTTCATTCAGAAATGGAAAGAGTGTTGAATCTCTGAAACTTGCTGCTGGCAGAGAGCATCAACTGCTAACGGAACCCACTGGCTAACATCTGCCCTTTTCTCTCTGGTAACTGGGCTCGTCCTGCTATGCCAGGAAGCTTGATAGGATCTGGAGCTCTGTCATTTGAAACTGGGTGACACAAAGACAAATCCAGAAGTCCAGAAGCCAAGGCCTAGTTTAGAAGACTCAGAGGAGCCTGAGTAAATCTGCTAAAGAGAGACTGTCACCTCCATGCTCCTCTACTCCTGGTCAAACTGCACTGTCATCCACCAAGACCAGTAGCCAGGTCCAGATGAGTTTGCAGTTTGGTTTTGAGAGAGGGAAATGAGCAAGATCTGACAAATGGCGACATTCATTTGAGGGGTAGAAGAACGGTGGGGAACAATCGCTAAATCCTGGGCATCAAAAGCATATGGTAGAGAGCTGGCATTAACACCAAAGATCCTACAGAGGAGGAGCTGCTTCCTGCATCCACATCTTCTTCAGGGAACTTTTAGTGTTTAATATGCTACCAGCTTGGCATTGTGGACTGTGAGCCGCTGGGTACTTCATTACAATGGTTTCCAGCTGAGAGCAGAGGAAAGACAGGACTGAACCAGGCTGAGTGATGGAAGCCTGGCCCTTCTTCTTAGTGCCTGAGAGGGGCCCCATGTCGCAGGCAGAAGCTCAGCTGGGCACCATGAGGCTATTTGCAGTTTGACAGCCTCTCCTGAATTATTGATGCTCTCCCTGCCTCGGGACTTCCCCCTTGTTAATGAATCACACAGTGTGAAAATTTAAAGAAGCAAATGAAGACAATCTCTCTCCCTATTATTTCCTGCTTCTTTTGCCATCTGAGCTCTAATTTTAAGTCAATCAGCTTGAAAGGCATCTCTTGGGAGACAGCACAGCTTAGAGAGGCATGATCAGGCCGAAGACTCCATGGCGTGGAGTGAGATCAGGACCTGAGCCCTGAGTTAGTGAACGGATCTGTGTGGTGCTGGGCCATGTGAGCACTGAGTCGCTGGGTCACAGAAACACATGAGCAAAAACAATCTGTCAACACTCCTCCTTGGGACAGGAAGTGCCACAAGTATATGTGCCGTATCTCAAGGATATCCCTGAAGTCGGGGATTAAAACTTTCAAATTGAGATTCAAATTGAGAATTTGGATTTTTTTTAACGTAGGATAATAGCTATTGTTGGTCAGTGAAAATAGTTGACTTTTTTTTTTAAATAAGAAAATGTCACATAAATATGTATATTACCCGACTTCTCTTGGGAAATCAAGATCTCTTTCATTTGTACATTGTACCACTCCCTGCACTTAGAGTGGCTGCTGCTTTAGAGGATGTGTGATGTTTTGCCACAGTTCTAATCGCTTGTTAATGGTTGAATTTTTGATCTGTGAGCTTAAAAAAGGTGACAAGCAAGTTTCTTTATGTGCCAACTCAAGTCCGTTAGAAGGATTACCTATTGTACTGTAATGGATCTGAGGTCAGCTATGATAGGTTACAGGGCAGTGTGTGGTTATTCACCTCCTTTTCGCTATAAGAGACTTACTTACACATTCCTGACTTCTGCCGTGAGACCATGTGAGGATCATTCTAGCAAAAACT